GATGGGTATTAAAGAGGGCATGTGTGGAGCACTGGGTGTTATGCACAAACAATGAATCATGGAACACTACATCAAAAACTAATGATGTAATGTATGGTGATTAACATAAAAAATGAGAAAAAAAAGAACTTCTGTTTACTGGATGACTATGTAAGCAAATGAAGTATGACGGTTAAAATCCAAAATCTATTTATAAAATAAACTGACAAAAGATTACTATTTAATTACTATTACTATTTACTATTTAGGATATTTAAAGAACTGCAAATTAAGAAAATGATAACCTAATGGAAAAGTGGGTAAAAGATACAATGGGCATTTCACAGAGTAAGAAATATAAATGTTTTATAAACATGTGAGAAGCAACCAACTTGAACTAATTAGTAACCATAGAAATACAAGTTAAAAGCACCATGTGATACCATTATAAGCTTGCCAAATAGAAGACTGATGATAACAATCTGGTTAGTTTGTAGGCTATGATTATGTACTGATGGTAGCTGTATCTTTTGGCACTTCCACTTAGGAAATGCTTTGACACCATCTAGTAAGATTGAGGAGGAACCTCTCCTTTTATTCATCACCCAGCTCCACTCTGACCCGAGAGAGCAGCGTCTTTCAGACTATTTTGGTCATAACCCACACTGTCAAATAATATTTTACAAGGGGACCCAGCACTCCTTAGAACAAAAACAAAAAGCATCAACAAAGAATACTTATCCTTACTGCTTGTGTTACATTCTAAAATGTTCTGTTCTCTTTCACATAAAGAAACTGTCAACAGTTTCTAAACAGATTTAAGAACCAACTAATGGGATCTACCATTAAAAAACTCTTACACATAGGTACAGGGAGACATGTGCAAAAATATTGGTATCTGCATTGTTCATCATAGCCAAAAATCCAAAGCAGTTCAAATCCCACCCATAGATGAGTAAATAATAAAATGACATATATAAGCAGTGAAAATGAGGTGCTATTTTTATATAAAAATGTGAATGAGTTTTAGAATTATGTTGAATGGAAAAAGCAAGTCATAGAAGTTTGTAATAAAGATGAATTAAAAAAAAAAACCTCAAAGATAATGTTTAGAATAGTCACAGCATATTCTGCCAGACTGTTCTAAATTCTAAACACACACACACACACACACACACACACACACACACACACACACACTTGTGTGTGCTTTTTGAAATTCACTGGCTTTGGGTCATTTTGGTTTCTCTGGGACAAAATGTATGATATAATGTATATTTAAACTCGTAGCAAAGTTCTTGTTATGCAGAAAACAAATTATAGGTGGGAAATAATTGTGAGCTCATTTTCTTTTAGAGTACACACACATATGTACATATATTTGACATATCTATCTATATTCTTGTATACACTTATTTTTTAGCCTACCTATGTATTTTTATAGAGCTATTTTAGAGTCTGCTGTTACGATAAAATGCATGTGAGCTTTAGGAGCTCAGGTAAATTATTGATTACAACTTTGAAACGAACAGTCAAAGTGTGACCGAAGTTTTAAAACCGTCTGTGGTCATTGCCAACAGATCTTTCAGACAGGCTATCGTGGGAACATTCTACAAGCCCCCAGAGAAATTTTTTTGGCATCGTAGAGCTGAAAGTAGTTGGTGGCCTTGCAATTTATTTGCCAATTGACTAAATAGAAAACCAGGCCCCCAAGAATAAGGGAAACATAGCATAATGTATATAAACTTGTCAAATCACTAAGTTGTACACCTGAAACTAACATAACATTATGTGTGAACTATACTAAAAATAAAAAGTTAAAATGAGAGGATTAAAAAATCAATGTCTTATAGCTATCTTTATGTACAGCTCATCTTTAACTTTTTCTAGCTTTGAATTTAGAATTGAAGTAACTGAGAGGCAGTTGTATCTAGAATAATGCGGCTTTCTAACTGTTCATCTTTTCTGTTTTCGGCTACTTTTGCTTCTCAACATTTAGAATAAAAGAAAATTCCCAATTACTGTTTGAACTGCGATATTAGTTTCAGACTAAATACCTATTGCTATGCTGTCTGTTGGTATTTTTCCACCTAAAAGTCTTCTAGTAGTTATAATGTCAGAATAAGATATGTTTTAAATGAGACTGGCTTTTAAATGAAAATCAATAGTGCATTTTCCATAAAACAAAACAGCTTTAATAACTATTCAGAGCTTATTCCTTAAATGTAAACATTATTTTTATAGGTCCCAGGAAGTAATTTTGACTTCTTATTGCCCAGTGGAATACTAAAAGGGTGTGGCAATTATGTCTGGTTATAGGTTGTCTATTAAATGTTCTCAGTGAAATGCATCCAGTCATTAAAGTAGAAAATTTACATCAGAAAATTTTATACTTTAATGAGTTTAATAAATAAGCTACATGATACATATATATTTTATTTTTTGTAGGTTCCTCTTACTCATTTCCCTCCAGCAAGAAATACAGTTTTGATTTCTGAATATTTGCCCATCTTTTTCTTTACCACAATCCAATCTTCACTGTCTTCCTTACCTATACACACATTGGTACCCATGTGTGTACGTGCGCACACGTATACATGCTTGTCTTTGAAACCACATTTGTTTTCTACTTTTATGCTGCCTTTTCCTACCTTCCTTATCTTGATTTTTATAGCAGCCATTGTCTTAGAGTTGGTGCTTAACGTATGCTGCTGCCATAAGTCTGAAGCAGCATGGTAGAGAGAACATACACTACGGGCAGCCTTTCCGTCCTGCCTCTGCCTCTTCCTACATTCATTACAATGAGCAACTATTGACCATTCTGTGTCAAATGGAGAATGCAGAATCCATTTTGAAGATTGGAGGGATTGCATGGGAAAGCACATATTACTGCAGCCGGCATTTTGAAGCTTAGCAGTAATAGTGTTAATATATGTCATGAACTGTGAGGAGTAGGAGAATTTACCTTGTTAGCCTGCCATCACTTCATGAATGTTGGCAGAAGACACAAGACTGGAGGCAAAGAATTTATTACAGCAATAGCACTAGCCAGAGTCAACAGTTGTGTAGATTCCTGAGTCTCTACTCCCACAGGGCAATGTGAAGAAGGCCAGATTTAATACCTACATGCACAGTGGTTTGTATTACTGGAGTGAAATCGTGAACTTAGGGAACTCAGTCTTTTTTAAGAGGTAATAAGACAGCCCGACCTTTGCCCCAGTTTACATACTGGCTGGTGAACAAATCCATTTACTTAAGAGGGAGATCCTACCTCTGTCTTCCAAGACTATTCATAATATAAATATCTGTGAAAAGATTGTTGGGAACGAAGGTGCTTGATTAGCACTTGTACCTTAGAGTGCTTGGTCTTGCACTCTCTTGCTTGAAAATCTCCAGTTGTTTTCCAGTTCCCTTGAAAGAAAATCCCACCTCCTTATCTTGGCTAGAAGACCCTAAGTGATCAGGCTTCAGCGTATCTCCTCACCTCTTCTTCTACCATCATACTGGCCTCTCTCTCTCTCTCAAATGCACCAACAGCCTTTGCATTTGTTCTTCCCCCAGGTTATCACCTAGTTAGCTGTTTGACATTGAAGATTCAGTGTGAATCAGTGAGTGAGGCCTTATCTGACCGCCTCAATGTAAAGTACCTCCCCAAGCATTCTATCACATCACTTGTTTTTTTCATGGTACAATATTTATCAAACTCTTTTTATTTATTGTCTGTCTTTGCCTGCTGGCCCACCCTATCACACAGAATATAAACTTGTTTTAGAACTATATATACATCTATGCATATATAAGTCATATACTCACATATAT